CTCTTCGTTCTGTTTTTGCTTTTACCATGTCTTTTGTCTGTTGATTATTAAGCCGATCTGTTCAACAGAACTATCCAACTTGATGAACTCCCCTCAACCTTAGTCGTTGAGTTCCCAACTATATTCACGTCATCTACGAATGCCAATATGACCCGGGGTTCCTTTGTTCTAAATAGCAGTATTTCTGTATTGGCTTTTTGCCCATGTTCATGAGCAATGTTAAAGAACAGTGGTGACAGTGCACCTCCCAGCTTGAGCCCACTGTTAACTGCTTTTTTCTTTAAATCTCCATTCACGCAAGCCCTTGTGAGATTAATCAGTTTTTTGGGTATCCTAAGTTCAACTCTTATTATACTGTCGTACGCCGGTTGAAATCAATAAATAGCTAATGTAATCTTCTATTATGTTCCTTTACGACGGAGTAAAAGAAACTGAATGATACTCAAATGACGTAATTAAAACATACTTACTTCACTATCACTGTGTGAAAAATAACCGAAATTTAGTCCAGAAAAATCCAAAAGTGTATTTCGAACAAAACTTCACCTTTTTTTTTAAGAAGTACGCACCCTATATAATATTTTAAGGGAGAAATGACAGTATTATGTCGTTAACTAGAAAAGTTTTATTCACCACTTTGAAAAATTTTGCTTGGGAAAAGCATAACAGTAAAGCACTTTTATTGGAAAGCGATGAAATTGTTTGCCAATTACGAAAATCCTTATAAGTATGAAGTTGAGGCAGATATAGCAGAACAATAAAGCAGAACTTGTGCGAGTGCAATTGAAGAATTTGTAGCAAGACACAACACGATATTCAAAATGAAACAATTTAGGCCACTATTTAATCAAACCATTGGGGAAGTGACACCAAAGAATTGGCCAAAAACAATCCGGCAAGTCATTAAAGAAGAGGAGAAAATGTGCAATCTTGACTATTTCATCTATCGGAATAGTTAATGATTTTTGTACAAATAAGGATTTTATTGGTAGGGTTAATGGTTTATTTTAGAGGTGTTCGATAATTTGATCTTTTTGCAATGGATGGGCTAGTATAAGATATGCAAGCCGGAGTAAAAATAATGAGGAACTTTGCAAGATTAATTATTTTTTTCAAATTAAACAATAAAATGAACCATGTACAATATTTCGGATGTAATAAACCAGATAGGTGGCACATTAATTATTGGTGAAATGTTAGCAAAACTACTTTTACTTAAAATCTAGTAAATAAAAATGCTTTCATTTAATCATATAAAGAGGGTCTTCCTGAATGCAAAAATAAAACAATTTTTTCTCGGGAATGCGCCATTTTCTTTTTCTGAACTTTAGGTTACTTGAAATCTGGCGGATAAAACGTTTTGACTTAATTACAGCGAAAAAATTCAATAATTTTTTTTCGGAAAAGTACCATTTCTTTTTCACTCTTTAGATTACTGTATGAAATTTGGTAATTTATTTGTATAAAATACATTTGACAGAAACAGAAATAACTTCGGAAATTAGTCATCTCCGTTTGGACTCTTTATATTACTTCAGATTTGCTAACTACGTAACATATATTAAAATTTTATATGAAGTGACTTTAAATACAAACTTAAAAGAAAAACGCAAATGTGTAATTTTTCTTTCTCAGACCTTGTGCTGTATTCTTTGGGTATGAATTCTATCATTCCTTACCAATTCAACCCTGTGATTAACTGTGCGGTGTGTATATCCATACGATAATCAGGTGTTGTTAGCTTTCCACTCGTTTGTGTGGCTAATGAAACCTTCTTTAATATTTTGTATAATTATTTCGACTACGATGGATGAATGCATTGTTGTCTGGGAGTGTCTAACAAAATTTTAGAAACGGTGGCATCACCTTACGCTGAAAATCGTAACAAGCTAAAAATATATATTTTTTACTTTTTACGTCTGTAAAATACCTAATTACCCACCGATCTAGCGTGCGGGAAGCGTCATTTTACCACGTCAGTTTCGTTTCCCATGAATCCGAGCCACTTCGGACATTTCCGGGATTTTACCGCACGGATTTGGGGGAAATCGAATGTTTTCAGATATATTTCCCACGCTTTGAATTTTGACGTTTGTCAATTCTGACGGTCATGTCAGTGAATGTATTCGTGTTGTTTTGCGAAAATGGAACCGAAAACTGACGGTCGTAGAAAAAGTATAGTATGCAACACGTCCGGTAAACTTTTTAAGTCACTCGTTTATTAAACACTCGCTCCGCTTGTGTCAATTTTTATTAATTATGTAAATTAATTAAATAAATCGTGAAGATGGGTTATTTTTTATATTTGGTTGGTTTTAGTTGTTGCCTTAGTGACGCCAAATGTGTGGCAAAAGAAAATGGGGCTGTAGTTTTGTATTCAGGTCGACCCCCTTTATATAACTGAATTAAAAAAAATCAAGTAGAAAACAAAACAATTATTGTAGGTAATAGATGTAGAAGATAATTTTTTTGTATGGCGTTGCCGAGATGACTTTAGTTAAAAAGTACAAAATGAAAAATAATCGCCATTTTGTTCACGAACTATTATTTTTTTTTAATTTATTTAGTATGTTCGTGACACCCTATTTTGTTTGATACGCCAATGGGAGTATCCAAGCGCGGCGAATACGGGTTTTTTTACTCGTAAATGTAACATTTTTTCCATTTCGGTTCGATAATTTATTCGCCGCGAGGCGATGAAGTTTATATCGACGTAATAAGTCGCATTTCCCCAAAAAAAACTTTATTACACGAAGCGAACAGAAAAAAACACGAAATGCCGCGCCAATTAAAAACGTTGTCGTGCCGGTTCTGCGAAAAACAAAAAACGGAATAACGCGCCATCCCGACAATTGTCACAATAATTAGCCAATCACGACCGAGGTTAATATACATAAATAACTAATAAAGGGATATCGCATCTTCAGTTGGCCATTTATTCGCGTTTACGTACACACAGCTAATTTCGGCACCAAAGCTTTGCGCTTCCACACATTATAAGTTTCAATAATTTTGGTCCTACAATTCTTGGGTCCCTATTTTGATTACCGAAATATAACCTGACCATAAACAAAACTCCAATTAACGTATTTAATAATTGTTGATTGATTTTTCCTTGGGCTAAGATTTGTCAAAATGAAAATTTCTAAGTAAGTAAAGACAATATTTTCCCAAGAAACTGTCACAGGCTACTGTAATACTATTTACTAATCTCCTGGATTCCTCCTGCGTCGGTTTCGTCAATCATCCTGTTGACTTCTTCAACTTCTGCTTCTACAAAATATATAATACTTAGCATTAAATCTTTTTTTTTGATATTTGATATTTTAATTCGGTCGTACCTACAAACAATTGTATATAAATGACTGATATCAATAGGAATATAATTATTTTTTATTGGGAAACTAAAAAAAATAACTAACTCACTCTCCACTAAAAAATGTCTCGGTTATACACTGTTATGTTTTTAAAGTATACTGAAATACCTTGGTTTGTATATTTTCCAATACCGTGTCTAAAAGTTGCAATTAATTTAATTTTACGTTCGTAACCTCTCTTCTAGTTTATCTGTCGGGTAACAAAAATAGATTCACTTTGTCAAAAAAAAATGAGGTTGATGTAAAAATAAATAATAGTATATTATGCAAGAAGTTTAATAAATGGCGTTTTAGTCACAAATTTGATTTGATTGACAAATGTCAAAATACCACGAAACTGAAATCAACTTAGATTCCTGCATTACTGGGTATTTTAGAATAGAGAGTAGAAAATGGCATTTTTTTTTATCTATTTGCAATTTTTTTTTATCAATTTTATAACATTATTATTACTAATTTATATTCCTTCAACGTTACAGAAAATTTAAAACAAGTAGGTCTGTAGGGTAAGTTGTTTCATATATTTTAGCAAAGAGACATATAAAGTTTTTTCACCACTTCAAAAGCAACAATTCTGTACCTTAGATAATTTTTCTAACAAAAAACTAATGCGACCAATTCTCTGAAAAGGAGACGCACAAGGAACTAAAAAATCTTCTGAGAAACACTACGCAAAAATACTTATATCCACGAATATATTAATTATAAGTAGGTCAGTTTACCGGGGAAAGCGGCGAGAAACCAAGATAAAATTAAAAATGAATGTTTCACGTAAAGCTACCTAAAACTTCCCCCAAATTTACCTTTTGAAACGTGATCATGCTCAATGCATTGGATCTAGAAAAGCACTTTCAACTCACTTTTTTTAAAGTTTAGCACTGGATAAAATTTAGTTAATTTTTGACATAAGTATATTGTTTCATTTTTTAATATTTGTAATGTAAAATCATTTAACTCAGTCAGTTTATCCATTTACATGTTTCCATTTAACTATACCAATTTGTATTTTGATTGACTTGGTTTATTTACGCGATTTGACTATAATATTCTAGATGCATTTCGTAGAAATTCTTTTTGCTAACAATGTTTCCGAGTTTTAATGAACAACGTACTTCACCAGTCCATCTCCAAACGTCAATCACCCAAACCGCTTTGCGCAAAGCCGCAAAGTCGAAATTACTTGGGTGTACGTAGCGGGCAAAGAGAGATAACAAGAGAGAGCGGAGTGGAGTGGATTGTACTCCATCACTTAAACGTTTAATTGCAATAATTCTCGGGAGAGACGATACACACACAGCTTGACCGTGATTTATAACGGCCCTCGTTGCAAATAGATACCGCAGAGCAAGAACACTCTCGTGCATGAATTGTTTAGTTAATGGCGTCAGCCATTGTTCCGGTATCTACTCGGCGTGTACACGAAGGTTCAAACGCGCGACTGTAAGACTATATATTTTTTTTTGAATGCACAATAGCCAATTTTGATTTGCTGCTAACGAACTATTCAAAGGATTACCAAAGACTGAAAAACTGCCCAACCGAATATCATTGTTTTGACTGATGATTGTCTCATGGCTCATTAGTATTAGTATTACTATTAGTATTTGAAAAGAAAGTACTTACCAGTGTCGAACAAATTCGTCCAAATTCCGCCTTTACTGACTATCTGCGAAAAAAAAAGCAATAATTAAGCAGGCTTCTCATTGGATGATTTTGGTGAAATCTTTAACGAGTAATTCCTTCAACCATTTCGTATTGGTGCCTAAGTCTATTCAACCGCAACCATACTGAAATATATTGTATGCCTAATATACAGCCTTATATATACAGGGTGTATCAAAATGGATGGATGTTCGTGACGGACTCGTTCGAGTCTAGTTGGCTTCTCCTCTGTCTCGTCGTCCGCCATCTTTTCAGCCTTGTTTTTGTTTGCGTATTTTGAGTATTTTGTGTGCTGTGCTTACTGCTTTCAGTGTTTTCATTTTAGTTATTTTTTATGGTATTATTATTACTGAAGATCTAATAATTCATGTAATTAAAACTTTATGGTAATGTATAACATAAGATTTGATAAATTCTAACCTGAACGAACCATTGTTCGGCAGTCCACCGACATTATGCCTTGTTTTTTTATTATTTTGCTAGGTCAATGAGATAGCAAGATCAGGCAGCGGCAGCAGTTATGAGTTTGAAAGACAAGCTCTGACCCCGCTGATTTCAAATGAACTTGCAATGAAATTTAATTGGATAGGCATGAAGAAAAAGGAGAAATTTTCAAAATTAAAATCGGCCAAATTAATATTTGGTAAGTTGGTATCCGTTTTGTCGAAGACAGGTACTAATTTTCTTCAGTTCTTTATCTCTGTTCCTCTCGTTTGTGAGCCTGAAGGACCGAGCAATTAATGTATTTGCCACTGCCTGTATCTGTGATGGGTGGTGATGAGATTTAGCGTTCAGATATCTATTAGTGTGTGTTGGTTTTCTATAGCAGACTGTTATCCTCTTCAAGTTCTATTGTAAATTGAATCCTTGAGTGAATGGAATTCAGATGATCTAGGAATTTCAAAAGCTCCTCCTTGCCAAAAGGCCATACAACAAATACGTCATCAACGTATCTTGTCCATAGTTTTGGCTTCAGATTTGCCTTCTCTATTGCTTTCTTTTCGAAGTAAATCATGAAGAGGTTGGCAATCACAGGTGAGAGAGATGATCCCATTGCTGCTCCATCTATTTGTCGGTAAATTTTCCCGTTGTGCATAAAGTAAGCGTTCTTCAGGCAATGTCTTGACAGATCCATTATGTATGGCGGAAGATCTTCGTTTTCTTCTATAAGCAAGAGTGCCTCTTCTACTGGAATACTCGGGTAGAGGGATTTGACATCGAAACTTGCCATAATGTCGTCCTTGTGCATCCTGAGAGAACCTAAAATCTGAGTGAAATGTTCTGAGTTTTTAACATAGGAATCTGCCTTTTCCACTATAGGCTGAAGTGCACTGGCCAGATGTTTTTCCAGCTTGCATAATGGTGAGTTAAAGGCGCTTACGATTGGACGCAGGGGAACCCCGTCCTTATGGATCTTTGGGAGCCCGTAGAATTTTGGGCAACGACTCGATTTTTCCCTCGGGATAAGTTTCTTCTTTGTATCCTCGTTTATTGATGAATCGAGAATTTTGGACTTAGTTGTTTTTTCCAAATATGTCGTCGGATCTCTGGTGACTAGTTTGTATATTGGGTCGTTCAAAATATCCTCCAATTTTGCATTATAATCCGACGTATTCATGACGACAGTGGCATTTCCTTTGTCTGCTGGCATTATTAGAATGTTTTCGTTTTTGTTTAGATTCCTTAAGGCTTGCATTTCTTCTCTGCTTAAGTTTGGTTGCGGTGGTTTTGACTGTCTTAAGACTCTGGCGACATCTTGCCTAATTAACTCCGCATCTTGTTCGTCTATGGTGGAAAGACTTGCTTCGACGTTGGAAACGATCTCTTCGACGGGTACTCTTTTTGGAGCTATTGCGTAGTTAAATCCTTTCTTCAGTACGCTGACTTCTGTATCGGAAAGATGGTATGCTGAAATATTATGAACTGTACTGCTTGGGTTTGTATTTGGCACTTGTCCTGATTTTTTGGAATTTGACTGAAGGATTTCTAATTTCTTCCACATTTTTTTTGACGTGATGTCCTTGTCTTTCTCAGTGCGCCATGATGTTAATAATTCTATGCGGTCCCACAGCAACTGATGGATCTTGTTGCTCAGTTTCAGGTAGAGTCTGAAAAGTTGTAGCTCAGTCTCACTAATTTCGTACCGGGTACGCCTGATCTGGTCTTGGAGTAGGGCCTTGCTAGCTTTGTCCAGGATAGCTTGTGTCTTTCTGGTGCGTGTATGATAAGACAACCTTGTAAATGTTGGCAGCAAGTTCTGGTTGCGGCAGTTTTTAAGAAAATTCAAGTTGCACAGCGAAATAACCCTCCTTTGTCTTAGTTTTTCATAACACTTGGTGGCTGTAAAGGTCTCCTTCCCGTAAAGGTGTATGATATTCTCACGTATTGATTCACGGATGGAAAAATGTGATGACACTATATTCCGGGATATCATCCGTTCGCTCGTTGAACTCCGACTGGAATCCTGCATCCGACTAGAATCCTGCAAATCCTGCATCCGACTGGAATCCTGCAGACGTTTCGCCAAAATCTCACTTGGCATCTTCAATGCTCGCGCTCCGAAAACACTTCGAACACTGGGAGGTTATCGGCGGTGTGTGCGGTATTTATACTCTGCGCCGGAGATGGTAACGGTGCTGCTTGTGCGTGGGGGGGCACATAGAATTATTAACATCATGGCGCACTGAGAAAGACAAGGACATCACGTCAAAAAAACTGTGGAAGAAATTAGAAATCCTTCAGTCAAATTCCAAAAAATCAGGACAAGTGCCAAATACAAACCCAAGCAGTACAGTTCATAATATTTCAGCATACCATCTTTCCGATACAGCAGTCAGCGTACTGAAGAAAGGATTTAACTACGCAATAGCTCCAAAAAGAGTACCCGTCGAAGAGATCGTTTCCAACGTCGAAGCAAGTCTTTCCACCATAGACGAACAAGATGCGGAGTTAATTAGGCAAGATGTCGCCAGAGTCTTAAGACAGTCAAAACCACCGCAACCAAACTTAAGCAGAGAAGAAATGCAAGCCTTAAGGAATCTAAACAAAAACGAAAACATTCTAATAATGCCAGCAGACAAAGGAAATGCCACTGTCGTCATGAATACGTCGGATTATAATGCAAAATTGGAGGATATTTTGAACGACCCAATATACAAACTAGTCACCAGAGATCCCACGACATATTTGGAAAAAACAACTATGTCCAAAATTCTCGATTCATCAATAAACGAGGATACAAAGAAGAAACTTATCCCGAGGGAAAAATCGAGTCGTTGCCCAAAATTCTACGGGCTCCCAAAGATCCATAAGGACGGGGTTCCCCTGCGTCCAATCGTAAGCGCCTTTAACTCACCATTATGCAAGCTGGAAAAACATCTGGCCAGTGCACTTCAGCCTATAGTGGAAAAGGCAGATTCCTATGTTAAAAACTCAGAACATTTCACTCAGATTTTAGGTTCTCTCAGGATGGACAAGGACGACATTATGGCAAGTTTCGATGTCAAATCCCTCTACCCGAGTATTCCAGTAGAAGAGGCACTCTTGCTTATAGAAGAAAACGAAGATCTTCCGCCATACATAATGGATCTGTCAAGACATTGCCTGAAGAACGCTTACTTTATGCACAACGGGAAAATTTACCGACAAATAGATGGAGCAGCAATGGGATCATCTCTCTCACCTGTGATTGCCAACCTCTTCATGATTTACTTCGAAAAGAAAGCAATAGAGAAGGCAAATCTGAAGCCAAAACTATGGACAAGATACGTTGATGACGTATTTGTTGTATGGCCTTTTGGCAAGGAGGAGCTTTTGAAATTCCTAGATCATCTGAATTCCATTCACCCAAGGATTCAATTTACAATAGAACTTGAAGAGGATAACAGTCTGCTATAGAAAACCAACACACACTAATAGATATCTGAACGCTAAATCTCATCACCACCCATCACAGATACAGGCAGTGGCAAATACATTAATTGCTCGGTCCTTCAGGCTCACAAACGAGAGGAACAGAGATAAAGAACTGAAGAAAATTAGTACCTGCCTTCGACAAAACGGATACCAACTTACCAAATATTAATTTGGCCGATTTTAATTTTGAAAATTTCTCATTTTTTCTTCATGCCTATCCAATTAAATTTCATTGCAAGTTCATTTGAAATCAGCGGGGTCAGAGCTTGTCTTTCAAACTCATAACTGCTGCCGCTGCCTGATCTTGCTATCTCATTGAGCGCGAGCATTGAAGAAGCCAAGTGAGATTTTGGCAAAACGTCTGCAGGATTCCAGTCGGATGCAGAATTCCAGTCGGAGTTCAACGAGCGAACGGATGATATCCCGGAATATAGTGTCATCACATTTTTCCATCCGTGAATCAATACGGGAGAATATATATATATATATATATATATATATATATATATATATATATATATATATATATATATATATATATATATATATATATATATATATATATATATATATATATATATATATATATATATATATATAATATAAAATATATGTTATGGCGATTGATAAATTGATACTTTTTTTAAGGAGTGATTGCTGGACCGAGTTAAGGTAAAATTGACTTTTTTGTAACCTAAATATTATAGGTTTCAGATTACATATCTTTTTTTATTCTAGACTTCTTTTCGTAACTTATTGCCTTGTTTTTGAAAACAAAAATAAAATCCACTTTCTCTTCATGTTTTTTGAGCAGTTATATTTAGTGATACAAAACTAAACTAATGTTATTTTAAATAAGCAATGTTAGAGAAATTCCCCAGAACAAAATTATATTTTTAATTATATAGTATAGTTAGTATGTTTTTTCTTAAAATGGATGCAACAATCAGCTCTCAAAAACAAAGTATTAATTTTAGGAATCACCCTGCATAAAGTACAAATTTCACATTAAAAATGTTTGTTGGGTTAATTCACGTTTTTCCTATTTTTTAAGGCTTGTTTTCATGGTGATAGTAGGTACCATCACGA